GCTTAGTGCTGTTTTTGAATATATGGTTCACGGCGATTTACACGATTTCTTGCGTTTACGTGCACCAAAAACTTGTGGGTTAGTTGATTTTGCAAGCACAGTTTTGCTTAATTGAAAAATGTGAGGTCGCACACGACCTGTCCATTTTGCTAGTTTCACAATAAGGATGAGACGAAGATGCAGTGTTGTAGTATTTCAGACTGATAACTTTCCACCTTCTGCGCCGACTCTTGCAGTATTCTCGTAACAATCATAATTTAAAGCTAGCAATCGAATATTCTCGTCATTATTTCCAACTTCATATCGGCTGAATAATTTCAAAAATTCCTTCGTTTGACTGCAGCACGTCTTCTTTCAATTATGATTGTGTTTCATTTCAGGCTTTGACGCTTTTATGAAATATCTTTTACAGGTACGAGCAAACGGTTGATCAAGAACGAATCAGTGCGGATAATGAGGATTTCATGCGCATTGCCCTTCAGGTGACTACTTTTTATTCTGATCCGCTTTTTGTAAAAGAAAGTTTTTTGAGAAGTAGGTATAGATGAATCTACTATGAATATTTATTTACTGAAAAGGAGAGCAAAGGTAAATGAAAAGAATGCCAATGCATGTGTGTCTGCAGTTTTGAGAGACACGTAAAGCCAAAAAAAGCATGTTTCCTCGCAACTCTATTTAAGATAGCATACGGTATGGAGTATTTGGCGAGCATGAATTTTGTACATCGTGATTTGGCAGCACGTAACTGTCTTGTGGCCGATCAGCGAGTCATTAAAATAGCCGACTTTGGTCTGGTAAGGAGTTGTTACGAGAAGGATTACTACAAGGTAAGTACTGTTCAAGAAGTCGTCAGTGGGTTTGATAAAAGTAGCAATCGGAATGCTTCCTTGAATGAGCCGTCTATGCACGCAGCTTTTCCAAACGCTAATTTACTGCCACTTTTTTATGCGTTTTTATTTCCAAAAAAGTCTCAGTATTGGCCGGTTTTGTCCATTTACATACACGAATTATAGCTTCTTTCATCCGTTGATTCATGTGCATCAGACTCGGAGGGATTGCTTTCCTGATATTTCGTCATCCCTCAATTCTAATTTCATTATAAAAAAAACCAATTCGTAATCAGTTTTGTAATCAATTTCCCGAGCATACAAACGTTTTAATGATACCATATGCATTCTTAGCTGATGTTATTTCTGGTCAGTCTTTTCAGCTCTGCTTCTTTTTTTCCTACGTCAAAACGCAAAATAATTATTGGTCGGAAGTCTACCTCTAGCAACTTTTATAACATCAGCTTTCTTGTGATTCTCACCTCCGTAGTATCA